CCGCTGGACGCTCTATGCACCGCATCGAACTCATCCCTGGCTCAGCCCCAAGCTTTGTTCCACGGTACAGACGACTCCCGCACCTGGAAGAGGAAATTGAGCGGCAGGCAGACGAACTTCTGAAAAAGGGCAAGGTTCAGCCGTCAACTAGCTCCTTTGGGCACAATCCCGTGCTGGCGAAGTAAAGGAAGGCAGGTGGCGCATGTGCGCCGACTTCAAGCCCCTCAACAAGATTACAGTGAAGAAGAAGTTCCCGATGCCCAGAGTGGACGAAATCCTTGACCGCGTACAGGGGCCGGCGGTATACTCAGCATTTAACTTCGCTGAGGCCTTCTTGCATATCCCTATTCACCCGGAGGACAGGCACAAAACGGCGTTCCACACCCGCACGCGCAAGCTGGAGTACACTTTTATGCCATTTCGCCTCGTGAATGCACCTGCCGAACTGCAGCGGCAAGTCAATCGCTACTTCCTGGGGCCAATCGCCGAATGATGGAGGGTGATATGCATGGATGATGTGCTTGTGTTCAGCCGAAATGTGCAGGAGCACCTGCAGCACCTCCGGCGGGCGCTGCAGCTACTACGTGAGAACCACTGGTTCGTGAAAGCGCAGAAGTATTCGTTTTTCATGCAGACAATCAGTTTCTTAGGATTTTGTGTCTCTGCAGCAGGAGTTGAACCAGATCCGGCTAGGATCGAGGCGATTCAGCGGTGGCCGCTAGCGCTGTACACGCGGACGGACGTTCAGAAGTTCCTCGGGCTCGCCTCATACTATCCCAATTTCATTCCTGGATTCGCTCGCATTGCTGCCCCTCTAACTGATTTCCTCAAGAAAGAGAAGCAGTTTATTTGGACGGAGAACGAGGATGAAGCCGCCTGACGCCTCATCGGGCACCTGACATCATCCCCAGTGCTCGCTCTCCCTGATTTTGATAAACCCGTTTTCCTTACGGCCGATGCCAGTGACGCCGCAGTCGGGGTTATGCTCTCTCAGCAGGCTATTCGTTCGAAAAAGCACCAAATAATCGCTTGC